CTTACATAACTTAAATACTTCTAAAGTATTTGACACGTGAAAATTAGATTAGATTTTGATTAACTTCGTATTATTTAAAAAACCTTAAGATTTAGGTATTATAAACTTTATTAAAACAGACACTTATTTTGTTCAGCGAATCCAAAAATGTGATAATATACAGGACATTCCATTAAAAAAAACTCAACTTTGATACCTTTAGAGCCTTTGGGACACCCTGTACATTACAAAAATATTTTTAAAATGTGCGCTCGATAGGCGTCGGACAATTAATAAAATAATACTTTTTAAAAATAAAACGGTTTAGCCGCAAACTTCCGTGCCGTATAGCGTGAATAACCCTGTATATAAAATTTCTAAAATATTATTTCAGGATTTAGGAATTTCAGTTTTTTGTCAAAGCGCTATAGTGCGAGTTTCTAACTTGGAATAAATTCGATCAGACAGAATTTTTTTCGAAAAACGCTCGGATACTGATTAGTTTTTTAAATTGCGCTCTTTTGCGTGTAAGAACATTTTGTACAGCGTGAGCTAAATTTGAGAAACTATTGATTTACTGATGTCCAGAAGGAGCACTCATAAGACCTCATGCATGATTTTAGGTAGAGAAAAAAATGAATTTGCGTTATACCTCGTATATTTTATATAGCGATCGTACACTGAAGCTTATTACAATATGTCGGCTCGTTTCTAATTTTGGACGGCAGACGCCAAAATAACATTAACAAGGCATCGTCGGCAAAACAAACACTGTACATTTCGATAAAATTTCCTCAGTTGTTCAAGTGAGTTCGCGCTTGTTCGATTGGAAACAACAGAGCGAATCGGATTCAGTGAATTCAATTAAAATGATTGGAATGCCGCTCGTTTGTTGATCGCCGGAAAACTGCATTCAACCGTCTCGTCTGTGTTTGGTATCCGAGGATTTTACTTATTCGGGAAATTTATTATTGGTAAGTACTTATTTTGGGGGACTTTTCAAAATCCGCTCCCTAACAGATCGTAGTTTACTGTCTCAAGAAAACCCTCCAGAAAAATATTCTGTGTTCTATTCGCAATAAAATAGATTCAATATGGAAAACTGCAATTGTGCACACATTTATGTATGCAACAATTGCATTCTCTTATCGTTCAACTTCCTGACTAGGCTTTCTAGGTAAATATAACGGAAGTTGATTTTTGCGCTTCTCTGAAAATAACGAAACACATAGATAGATATATCGAAGGTTACTGATCTATGTAAATAATTTATTTATAGTTTGCCCATTAAGCTCGGGTTGTGCTTGTGTTAAGTACGAAGTAATAATTGCCATCGATTTAATATACATAGATCCAAAGACTTGAGAAAACCGATTTTATTTGCTTGTTTTGTTTCCTAATTTCTTTTTATTTATATGGTCAATGGCATTATTTTAATATATAATATAATTAGCGTAAATGTATACTAAATATTTTTCATATACAGGCTACTCATATCCTAAGAGCGTATTTCTTCGCTAATATTAAGCCGAAAATTCCCCAACATCGAAACATAAATTTCGATTTTTTCTTTGAACATTATCGTTCCCCGCAAAATATCCTCAATTTCGTTTGTATCAAGTTCAGGTTTGCTAAATTATTTGGAATCATCTTCAAACTCTTCTTGATCGTTTAATAATCTACTAACTCAAACTTACGTTTGTTTAACATTTTCCTATAACGCAGATTTTCCGTGAAAAATCCCATGGATCCCACCACAATTTTACTAAATTTTGTTTTAACATTTTCTTATTCTTAACGAAGAATTTAATCGTACCTTTGAGAAATTAATTTATTTCCAAGCGACCAATAAAATATTATGATATACATCATACTTAACCCAAAAAACATGAAAGGAAGTTGTTTACGCGACGCAAAATTAAGTGCAGAAGCCAATTTATTGTGCAATTCCAAATTCCATGCAATTTTGGCTGCAAGCCCGAATGTTTTACCGCATTAATAATAATTACCTTTAGCGTCCAATTAAGATTTTTCGTCTAGAATCCAGGAATCCGCTCCAAATATAATTGGAATCCTTGAGCGCGTCTGGAATGCAAGGGTGAACACACGGTTTTTTTGAGTAACAGCTTTGGATTCTTAAAATAAATCAACAATACACCGAGTGTTTGTAAAAGGTGTTTTTTGCGTGATTAGCGTGTCACAGATTCAGCCTCAAGTTCGTACAGTTTCTTATTTGTACCGACAGGAATTTTGATGTAGACTACAACCTTATTAGTAGCCATTCTTTTGAAATACTGTCATTTTTTTATTTTACTCAATGTTTGTTAGAAAAATGGGACGGCTCTGTGTTTTGTAAAGTTTCTGTTATTTTTTAAAGTCTGTCATTAATAGTAGAAAATGCATTATTCTGTGTAACAATTAAAAACCGCTGTTAACGCGAGCGAAACACTTTGAAGTTGATCGTTGTTAAATTTTATTACCTGTTTTTGCAAAGAAAAATATTCCTGCTTAATGCGTTTCTTTATTGTATATTATATATTTTACAATCTAGCTTTTAGTCTCGCCTTTTGAAACTATTTTAGTGAAAGCGTTTTGCGGATGATGCACGTTAGTCTCCGGTACTTTGCCCCATTTTCAATTACCAAACTCATTCGATTCGTTTAGATATTGCAACTTTCTTGCAATTAACAAACAATAATGAAGCATTTCTGTCTATGTACACTGCTACAAAAAAATATCACTCTGCACCTACTCTGACAATAGTTAAAAACCTTTAACCATGTAGGCTTCAGAGCGAAAAATACTGTTCCAAACTAGAATTAAATCTTGACTAATATCTTGAAAACTGTACAAACGCAAACCGAGAAACATAATAAAATTCCTAATTTCAACATTCTGTATCTTGAAATATCTACGTTTTTTACGTTTCTGGTGCAAATATACTTGCCTTTATTGATGCAGAAATGATCTTGATGCATATTTATTCAGCACTCTGCATACATTGAGACATTATAAATTCTATGCAAAGTCAGAAAAAAACGTTTTGTAATCAACTATTTACGTATTTTGGTGCATACTTAATTATTTTTTTAAACAATTAAAAAAGTAAAACCTTTTGTGTTCCAGAATCCTCACGTTACCTGCAAGGTTTTTCCGAACAACTTTAAAATAAAAATCGCATTCCACAAATACCATATAGACTAAAATGGGAAATATTTTTAAACTATTTAATTATAGTCGTTTATTTATGGATGTTTTTGAAGTTCTCCAGTCGGAATTTTTAATCCGGAGCACTATTAACAGGCAGATTCCTCTAAAAAAGCTAAGAATAACCGCATTAGAGTTTTTTTAAGTCGCTTTGAACACCAATAATCTATACCTACTCTGCATAGTTACCTACATATTTAGTATTCGATGTGGGTGGAAACGATTCCCGAAAGCTGCAAAGCATTCCAAATGATTTGCCAACCATATATTGAAATTTTTCTTGGATTTACCAGTGAATGGTTTTCAGCAATTTATTGCCCGGTTTTGAAGCTCGTTTACTTTCTCGATTCACATTCTTAGTTCCTTATCACCATTATGCAGCAAAAATAAAAA